TAGTTTATATTACACTGAAACAGTTTCAACTATTGGAGAAGTGATTTATATAGACACAAATTATTTTGTCTCTACAACAACATATAGAAGTAAAATTGTTATAACAGCTATCATTATTATAATAGTATACTGACTTATATTACACAAAGCACACATAATTAAGGGAGTTATGTAAGGCCCACATTGACAGGCATCACTGAATATGTTTGCTCTAACCTTTAGATGCCACTAAACAGGAAGCAACGAACAAACATGGAAATGAGCACCTTCTCGTGGTATTGTACCAGATTATCAACACAGTGGCAACACTACAGCACTATTTTGAGGATAGCTTTTGTGAATGTAGCAAGGATCCCCTGGTAGGGGGAGGGGAGCAGCCAAAGCAGTTCTTTGCTCAGCTACTTAGTGCCAACCTTAGAAAGCCACAGTTTGTCCAGCAGGGAGCAGTCTTACAACAGCCAAAGGACTTAACTTGAACTTGAAACCAACAGAAGAAAAAGGGGGTTTTGGTGTTGTTTGTTTAAAAAGTCCACTTACCATAGGTCTGTTCTACAATTCATTTGACTTCAGCATAGTTGTAAGGTCTCCAGGAAAACCCAAATCTAAAGCAGGTCTCGAAGCATATGTGAGTCATCCATGGCTGTGGATGCCAAAAGCAATAAATCAAAGCTGTTAGGTCATCTCTGACCAATGTTGGGCTAAGTTAAAGTATGGTGAGTAGACATTTCTCAGTGAATTGTATACTCCTTTTAGTGGGGCAGCAGGAGGTTTCAATTTGGATATTTGGACCTTTATCAAATGATAATATTAAAGTCTTTTTAATCTAAAAGAAGATTTAAGAAAGAAATTTAAAAAAACATAACAGGATAACAGGTTATATAAAAAGCTACTCACTGTAGTCAAGGAGTTGATAAGACAGCCATGAACACTTTTACACTTTTGCTTTTACAGATCAGCACGCATATCTAATGTCATTTTTTTTTTTTTTTTTTTTTTTGGACAGGGTTTTTCTATGTAGTCTTGGTTATCCTGGAACTTGCTTTGTAAACCATAATGGCTTGAACTCACAGAGATTTTCCTACCTCGAGAGTTTTGGGATTAAAGACCATGTGCCACCATGCCCGGCTAATTTTAAAAATGAAAACATATTAGAAAATAGTTCATAAAGCTGTTGTAAAAAAAAATGATTAATCATTTAATGAATATGATGACTGAATATGATGCTAAAGAAAAAAAAACTCATGACCAATTGAAGGGCAAAGTATTTTTAATGTGAAAATCTATGATATATTTAGCTATAACTCTGCATCAGTTCTTATGATTTAAAGACATAAATAATTGTCTCTACTTCTACTTGAAATGCCAAAGCTTGCATTGTATGTGTTTACATATGACTTTTCAGTACACCAAATACCGAATTTCAAAAGATGATGATTATCAATCTTCAAATACATAGAATTTGGGGGATTTTGTGTAAATGTCTGCTTAAATATATTCATTCATCTATTTACAGGCACTATAACTAATCTTAATCTCATTGTATTGCAAGTCTCAAACACTCTTATATTTATGCTATTCATGTGAATATTTTCTTGGTTATGTAAGCGTTTGAACCCTTCTTAAACATTTTAGAGTCAATATCAAAACACCTAACCTTCACTGCACCTTTGTTCCAATCAGTTAAAGACCACAACTATTTTAATAAAGAGGTAGTTTAAGATCTTGTTATAATGATGTATACTTATTCTTATACAAATTTCTTTAAGTCAACAGAACTCTAGTGTTATTAATGTGTGCACAACATATACAATATACTCAAAAATGTCTAGTTGTTCTCTAGGACTCTCTAGTTCTAATATTAACATGAAGGATTATTAGCATGTTGAGAAACATGTATTTATTGGGAGGGGAGTGCATGCCGGCACCTGCCATAGCATCCATGGAGAGAGAAGTCAGAGGACAGCTTGTTTGAATTGGTTCTCTCCTTCTAGGAGTTCTAGGAGGGGAACTCAGGTCACCAGAGTTCCAGCAAGCACCTTTAACCATTAAGAAATCTCATCAATCCATGAGTCAGCTCATCAATCCATGAAATAATTTTACCAACTAATTATTCATAAGCTTTTAATTTTTGTAAATACATTACACAAATTATCCAAAGGAGACTTGAGTGGATTGAGTAGTGTCTTATTTCCCAAATTAATATCCACTTAGAAACATAACACGTGATCATATATTATTTGCAATGTAATTAAGGTAAGGATCAACATGAGATTATACTAGAGGTAATAAAGCTAATAAGAATGTCCTAATAAAAGACACAGAACAATACACAAAGCCATGAGTTGAGGACATTATGAAACTGGAGACAGAGACTGAACACAACCAAAAATATCAAGGGGCAGCAGAAGTCAGAAAGAAAGGGCCCTGCTGACATGCAGACCATACTTTTTACATCTGATGTTCTGAAAAAGTACATTTTCTGTGAAGCCACCAAGTTTATATCAGTTCCTTAAGGTGGTCCTAGGAAATTCTTGTATATTTTGGCAACACAAAGTAGGGTGGTGCTCTAGCAGATGCTTACAACAGAAAAGCTTAGATTGCCTTAAAGAGACTGTATGTAAAAATACACACCTCTCTTCCAAGTATCATGCCTACAGGAGAATCTGGTTCAAAACGACAAGTTTAATAATACTTCTTTCAAAAATCGCTCCCAAACAATAGTATGTTTCCCTGATATAAGTAAACACCGAAGACAGTGAGGAGCATGACCACACTAGAGACTTTGAAGGGTTCCTAGAATATAAAGTATAGAAAATCACAGAGATAGGTAGAAAACAGTCCAGGGGCACACAGGCTGACAAACTACAGTTCAGAGGATAAATCTTTCAGCTGCCATCTACTTTTGTGGGGCAACAGAAAGAAGTGCCATATTCTTGACTTTCAAATGGGCTTAAAGGAAAAAGACTACTCTGTGACATATAAAAACTATATAAAATTCAAGTTTCAGCTTCTAACATAACTGTGCTCAACCGTTAATGCCCGCTCTCCTGGTTTACTTGTGGAAGAGATGAGTAGTTTCAAAAGAGACTTTATTGTCTGCCAAACCTAAACTATTTACTATTTAGTCACAGAAAGAGATACCCACTCATGACCTAGAAAAAAGTCTCATAATCTCTCCTATTTCTTGCTGTGGCACCAACTGGTCTTGGTCTTCACTGGGAATAATGAAAGTTAATCAAATGAAACAAAATATATTATCTGCCTAAAAGGAGCTTAGCATCTAAAATATGAAGACTGCCCAACTAGGAAATTCTTCATTTGCTATTAGAGAAGGAGTTTACCATTTTTAGACAATTACAGGATTGTATACAATGGCAAGACTGGGTCTAAGCAAAAGCAAGCACTCAACAGTTATTTGAATGACTTAAAAATATAAGGATATGTATGATATGTACTGGTGACATATTTGAAATGAAAGCCACCATCATCAAATCTTTCTAGTTGATGTGCTGTTGCTAAACCTGGAGGTTTGGTGCTTTTCTTCCCAAAAATGATTCTTTATTTTCTGTTTTTCTTTTTTGGTTGTTTGTCTTGTTTTGAGACATGGGTCTTATGGCGCTAATGCTAAGCATAACACCTGATTCTCCTCCACCTCCTTAGGATTATAGGATTGGGCCCAAGTCTTAATACAATGTATGCAGGCAGGCAAGAAGAAAGAAATAAAGGGAAAAAGGAGAGAAAGAAAAAGTATAAAAGTAAATAAAGTTGTTGCTGGCATTCCCCTTTAGTCCCAGCACCAGAAGGCAAAGGCAGACTTCTCTGAGCTCCATACCAACAGGGGCTATATGGTGAGACTTTGTATCAAAATGAATGAATGAATGAATACATATATCATGTATCATCCATCACTGTTAACAGTAATTTAATGTTGCAGGTGTTGGGACTCATTTTTAGTTCAAACATGCTTATCTTGAATGTCTTTTAAAATCACTTAACCAATTCCTTCCCCAGTTCTCATTTGAAAACATGTTTTAAATCAAACGGCTCTAAATTACATGGGTTTTCTCCCACAAATAAAACTCACAGTGTAGTAAAAATCCTCTCCATTAAGATTTCACAATCACTAGAAAATAAAGTACAAATAAAGTCAATTCTTCCCAGATTTAAGGGGAGAGAAACCTCAGGTAATTTCCGTGGGTTTTTTTTTTTTTTTTAAGCTGCTTCAGAGAGCGACAATTAAATGTGTGAAGAAGGTTGTCAGAGTAACACTTGTCATTCACACTGCTTAGGAAAGACTCTCCAAGATTTCCAGAAACCCTAATTAAAAATAAGGAAAGCTGCTCACGGGGACTTGTTAGAGAAGTATAGTCAGACCGGGGGAGAAAGCCCAATGGCCTCAAAGTTCCAAGGGAAGTTTCTAAGAAAAGTCTACTCTCCAACCCACCTAGCCCTGGGCTCTAACTGGCTAAGCCCAGGCGCTAACCAGGCACTGAAGTCACCGTTACATCCTTTCCAGACAGCACAACCATTCGGGAAAAGATGGTCCCGCGTGGGGAAGACGGGGATAACTTTCCTTAGAAACCAGAAAGGCGAGAGAGGCGTCTCTCTGTGCTTAAACAGCAGGGAAGCTGCGAGCTTTCCAACTCGCAGTGGCTGGAGAAGCCCTGCAGGCGAATCGCTTCTCCACCCTTTTCTTTAACTCCGCGTGAACGCGGGCACTCGCAAACCAAGAATGCTCAAGGACAGTACCCACCTGCGGCCCCCAACACCAACAGAAGTTCCTCAACCAGAACTCAAGCGGACCTGGTTAACCTGGACCGTGCACAATCCTCCGGCTTTACGTACAGAGCACTTTTCAGCAATCGGCCTTGCGATTGGTTGAGCAGCACGGAAATTCTCATTTCTATTGGCTACCAGTGGTGAGTGGGCGGGACTTTGGGGCTGTCTCTGACAGGCCAGCCGCTCGAGTTCCCAGACTTCCTATTGGCTCATCGCGGGAGCTTCAAGATGGCGGCGGCAGCTACCTGCGGCGCGGGCGTCCTCAGCTCTGGGTGTGTGGCACCCGCAGCCGGCCAGAGCGGCACCAGCAGCTTCCAGAGGAGGAGCAAGGCCTCTGGGACTGACGGAGGTGGCCCTCGGCTGCTGTCCATTGCGGGCACGCGACCGTCGGTGCGGAATGGACAGCTGCTGGTGTCAACCGGGCTCCCAGCCCTGGACCAGCTCTTAGGTCGGTTCAGAATGAAGATGAGGGAGCATCCCAGGGAGAACTTGGGGAGGGACTCCCCGGGGCAGCCCCTCATCCCCACACCCTGCCCTGCCCAGCCCCGCTCACCCCTCTCCCCTTCACAAACCTGGTCAAGGGTAGCCTGCTATGATAGAGTCGGGGGCGGAAGACTTGCATGGAGATGTCTTAAGATCTGTGCACTAAGCCCATCTTAGGACCCACACTCCTTACTCCGCTCTGCCCAGCAACTCATTTCCAGGTGACCAGGACTCCCTATGTGCTTTTACCCTAAAATGATTCCTAATGAAAAAGAAACATAGAAAGGAATTGACTTTTAGGATCCTCTGCCGGTCTCTATGACACTCTCCTTCCAATCCCAGGTGGCTTAAAGCTGGAAGACTAACCTACAAAACTTTTTAGCGTTGTAAAAGAAAGGTTTCATTAGAAAATGTTGAAAATATTCCCCTCTTTTCCACTGCGGGCTATTGATCTCCTTAAATCATAGGTGGTGTTGGCTGTAAAAGAGTGGATGTTGAAGATGTATGTTGACTCAAAGGAATGACAGTTCTTGATATTCACATAGTTCTACCCCCATATTATCTTAAATATGTTCGTAATCTCTGGAATTTTTTTCATGGAAAGCCTACCGGAGAATATACTTGTTTCATAGAACTGATTTGTTGAAAGAATTGACTTAATTAGGTCAGTAGGACAGGTTTAATTATGTCTGAATGCTGCTTCTTAGAAACTGATGTGTGCTTACATTTTTGTAAGCTTTTTTTCATAGTGTTTACTTTATGTCTGTTAAATATGGTAGATTTGCATAATATATTGCAATTGCCATTGCTTATTCTTGTACTTCGTTTAGCATTTTCTCTGGGTTATACTCCAGCTTTTCAAGCAAGTTTAGCAAAGAGGAAAATAACAAGACAAGCTATGAGAAACAGTATGGTTTCTTGAAACAGTATGGTTTCTTGATTCTATTTCATATTCTAAATGGATTCTGATTGTTTTCTACATAAATTTAAAGTAGTTTCACATAATTGTTTCAAACCCATAGAGTTGTGTTAGGCTAGAAACATAATTCAAAATGCATACTTGGCAAATATTTATTTCACTTTTTTCCCCTTATGGCCTCAGTTGTTACCCTAGATTTGAACTAAAAGCTTAGAAGATTGGCCCTTTTTAGTGAGCTTTCATCCAGACAGAAATTAATCTGTAAGCTTTAATGACAGCAGATCTTTCTGTCCACCTAACCTGTCAATCTTTTCTACACCTTAAATGTTCATATTTTTAATTAAATGGGATAGGTAAGTTTATTCAGTTGATACTAATCAAACTCTACAAACAAAAGGACTGCATTTTCGATGTTGTGCTTTCATTTTCTCATTAAAATAGCAAAATGTGCCTAGACCAGAGCCTGACACTCAGTAAGTTTTTATAAGGCCTTGATTGAAAGAAGAAGAAGGGAAAAAAACTAAGAAATGGTAAGTATGAAAAATAGAGTTTTGGCATTGGAGCTGCAAAAACTGATTCAGAAATTTAGTGGTATAAATATTTACAAAACTCCCGACCAAGTGAGCTGATCTTCAGCTTCAAATTTAGTCACCTCTGTACTTAAAGCACAGCTATTTCTAATTTTTGAGAACTATTTTCAGAGAGTTTTGACAGGTTACTGAACTTAAGATTAATTATTTAACTACAGTCTCTTCACACCTGCCAAAAAGAACTGAAGGCACCTTCATCTGTGTTTCTACAGAGACATATACTTGAACAATAATTTTTGAAATTTTCAGAAATGCTTGGACAGTGGAAGATTCTAGTATTTGAGTATAACATACTTAAGCTAAAAATTAGTGTTCACTAAGATCAAAATAGTATCAGTTGTTGAAATGTTGTATGTTTTGCATGATTGAAGTTAATTTGCAAAGTATATAGAAATTCAGAATGTTGTAACAATAGGAATTACTATATTTGGCTTAATAAATACTCCCAGATGTATTTCAGTTGTTAACTTCTTAATGACATTTTTGTAATTTGATTTCCTGTCTTGTATGTCTTCTGGAGCAAAAAATTTAAATTTGTTTTTCATTAAAACATTTGAAAGTGAAACATCTGTTGCTAATGTGTATTCAAAGAAGCATTAAGGACTTCAGGGCACGGTGTTACTTTCAAACGTTATTTGATTCAGATTGTGGCAAGTTGTTACTTTCAAACGTTATTTGATTCAGATTGTGGCAAGCCTTATATGACCTTATGGAGGTAAAATGTAATGATAGAGGGATATTCTAAATGAAAATGTACCAATGTACATTGTGATCACACAGCAAGTTAATATTGTATTATTCCCACCCTGTGGTACAGTGAAACTTTACTACTGCCCTCGTGTAATTTAAACATAATTGCAAATGTATTTGAAGTCCATCACATAGAATGATTGAATGTTAGCTATTTGGTAATTCATTACTTCCATCAAAATGTCTTACAGATTTGAACATACATTCCTCTTGTCTTCATTTTAAAAAACATCTAATCATTTATTTTTGTTCTGACAATTTAATTTTATTATTGGATTCTCATATATGTTCCCCATATTGACAATGTTTAAATTTTACAAGTTTTTATTTAGACTTTCTAATCTAGGGGATTTTGTTTAAGATTTATTTTATTTTTATTTATGTGTATTATGAGGACTTATGCATATTAGTCCAGGCATCCCCAGAGGCCAGAAGAGGCCCTTGGATCCCCTGAAGCCAGACTTACAGGTGCTTGAAAGTGGCCCTGATGTGGGTTCTGGGAATCAAACTTGGATCCTCTACAAGAGCAACAAGTGCTCTTAACCACTGAGCTATGCATCTATCCCAGTAACCTAGGTTTTCAACTTTGTCTCTTTCAGGGCATTTATATTGTTACCTGAGGTCACTATGGGTAAATAACATACATTTCAGAAAAGGAAAAGAATTTGGCTGGATAGATATTCCAGGAATTTCTAAAAAAAATTATAGTCAGTCTCGAGAGGTTCTTGAAGGAAGGGTGACTTCAGAGATTTGGCTGATTTAACTGCCACCCTGTTCAGAGTTTATTCAGTTTTGGATGTCAAGGGAATAGTAGGTTGAGTTTGTGGCAAATAATAGTCCAGCAGAAGTTCTGTGGAGAAACTTGTTGTAGTGGCCACGATTTGCAAAACTGATTTAAAAAAATAAATGCAACTGCCTTGCTTACTACATTATCATCAGTATTGTAGAATAATATACGTTAACCTTGGGCTATGTATTTTTAACAATTTTATATTTTAGTGGAATAATATACATTAAGTTTGGGCTGTATGTTTAAGAATTTTTACTATGTTTTAGCTAGCTATACAACTAAAGGAAATATTGCTCTTCTATTATTGTGTAAAACTGTTTCATATGATTTACTATTCAGAGCCGTTATCCCTGTTCATAGCTTTGGTTTCCATATTGCCCAGCCAGCACTTGTGTCTTAATCATAGGACAGGATGTTTGATAGCTTAAGACAAACACATTAACAAAATCACCACAATTTAGTTTGACAGACTGTATTTATTTGATAGTTAAGGATACTGCTGTAAGCTAAGGAAAAAGCTAGCTTGCTTTTTACATTTCAGTTTTCCAATAGTGTCTTTCTATAATATGTTACCTAATTTCTAGTTTCTCCTTTTACTTTCACCAACTTTGAAAAATAAGGTATCACTTCCAAGCATTAATTTGACCTCATTTACCAAAAGTTTGTAACTTACAAATTAGTTTGGGAAAATACACAAAATTGAAATTTCCCCATTAAAATAGTACCAGTAATGGTTGGCTAACTACTCCACCATGAATTACAAAACTATGATAGAAAGTTTTTAACACTAGATGTATTAAAGTTTCTTATCTTTTATTTTTGTTTTTGTTGTTTACTTTTTATTTTATGTATTTATTGGTTTTTTGAGACAGGTTCTCTCCACGTAGCCCTAGCTGTCCTAGAACTCACTGTGTGGGCCAGACCTGCCTCTGCCTCTGCCTCCCAAGTACCGGGACTAAAGGTGTACACCACCATACCCAGTTCTGATATTCTTTAAGTATTAAATCTGTACCTGTTTTAACACAAAATATTGTCTCCCAGCTTGAACTATGAATGCTGTCTATCAAACACTAAGCAACTGAAGTCCACTAGTGGTTTTTCTAAGTTAGGATTCCATTTCTTTTTTCTACTTGTTTTTATCACTGAGATGATATCATTGCTTCCTTACCCCATTACTTACCTGAAAACGTTTTTGTGGACTATAAAAATTTATATATACTTATATTTTAATGGAGACTGTTAGTGTGAAGTTTGTATTGCTTTTGAAATTAGATCAGGTTACTGATGGATTATTGTATTCAATAATGTAGTAAAAGCCAACTTTTAAGTAATATGTCAAAATGGCCAACCTTGCTTGATGGTTTTATCTGTTCATTTCTTGCTCTTTTTTCTTCCATTTATTTATTTGTTTGGTGGGAGCCATGGCTATATATTGATTCAAGTTTTGGGTTAAACTCCATCTACAACCTTATTGTATCAAGAAAGAAATACACAGATATTTTACTTGAGGGTATTTGGGGGAAAGATTGTGAGGTTTTTGTCTCATTAAATTTGTTTTGTTTTTGTTTTTGAGACAGAATCTCTGTAGCCCAAGCTGACTTGGAATTTACTAGTAATCCCAAATACTGGGATTAGAAGCCTGTGCGCCATGCCCAGCAAAAGCTTCATTTTAAAACTTTTAAGTTTATGACCAATAAGCTTATTCCAAATGGACCAGTTTTCACAACAACCCTGTAGAGGGCATTGGTCCTCATGCTGAAAGATAAGCATTAGAGAAACCAGGAAAGTTAAGTACATAGGCTTATCTCTTCAAGGAAGAGATGTGTATACCTATTTTCTACCCGGAAGGCTGGGAGTGGATGTTGTTAATAGCCTGGTAATCTGTGCTATCTGTAGGGCCAGGCCACACCAAAATCCTCCAGACCATTATGTTTACCCTAAATTCTTCCATCCTAAGACTGTTATCCTGAGCATTGCTCCTCAAGTCAATAAAAACCATCCTTAGGGTAAATGTCGCGGGTACTTTATAACCTAGTGACCTCTATGCTATCCTGAGACCACACAAGATCCCAGGCCCTTAAACCTTAGAAACCATCTTCATGGTAGAGGTCACATATACTTTGCAAAGGAGTTTCAATGTAGTGATTCCTTAAGCTTTATTGTACATATGAGATTGAGATAACTGTTACCAGGAAACACTTTTTCCCCAAAATATACTGTAATTAAATATGTCTAAAATAAACTCTCCAGTGTCAGACATTAGAAGTTTGAACCAGCCAAGCTAACTAAAATGGCTGATCCAAGTTTTCTTCTTGCCTCTCATGGTTTGTTTTTCTGCTGGCTGTAGCAATTTGCAGGGACCCCCACAAAACCCCTCTAGCACCCGTCTAAAATTAAAGTGAAGCACACACTACAGCTCATTGGAGAATAAAGAAAATATGTCTTAAATTAAAAGTCATTTAATTTACCCCTATTTGATAATGTCTTCAGGATTGATCAAAGTTTCCACCTATTAGGATTTTCATAAACATAAGATTTATAATTTTTGAGTAACATTTTCCTAAATTAGCAGATAAAGAATTTTGTTTGGATCATTTTTCCAAAAACCAACCTCCCTCCCCTCATTGTGGGATTTGCAAGATGTTCTGCCTAGCTCGTTTATTCTTATCTGTTATTGCTCCCATCATCACTTACCAAGTAATAATACACATTGAGTGATGGGTTCTAATCTAAAAGTCATTGCAAAAATGGCAGAAGCATGCTGGTTTTTACATATTACTTCATTTTCATCGGGAAACATCTCATCATCCCACCATGAGGGAAAAGTAGTTGGACATGGTAGCTTACGCTTGTAATTCCAGGCCTGAGAAGGCTGGGGCAGGAATGTTCTGTGAGTTCCAGTCCAGCCTCAGCTAAAAAGTGAGATCCTACCCCAAACTTTAAAACCCTTTGCTTTTATTCCACTGGAAGTTAGATACGAAAGTTAGATTAAGGAAGTAAACCAGGAAAACCAACCAACCTTTTATACGTAGTAGAGTGTAATTTTATCTTTTTAAACATTGACCATTAAGGTATTAAATGTTTTTTCCACGTAAAGGAAGGTAGGATATAAAGTTAAAAATAAATATAAAAGTTAGCAGTGGCCTTTATGTAGCACAAACTTAAATTAAGCATTTAGTATAATCCATCTAAAAGCAGACCTTACTTGGATCCTTTATGAGTGCTGCCTTAATGTACATTTTACTCTGTTAATCTTGAAATTGAGCTCATTAGTGTGGTCTACATTTTAAATGTTACAGTGTGAGAAGTTGTCTTGGTGTATAATTAAATTATGTATTTAATTTTATGATAGATCCAGTTACAATTCTGTAAATCCCAGTGCATCAGAAGTAGAAAGAAGGTCAGATGAGTTGAAGCCTCATCCTCAGCTACAGTGAAATGAAGCCAGCCTAAGCTACACAGACCTCACCCCCACACACACACACACAAGAGAGAGAGAGAAAGAGATGCACATACATGCATACGAACATATGTAAATGTACTAACTTTTAAAGTGTTTGTCACTAATGCCTTTGAAATTTTTTATAGACTGTCTTCAAATTATTTCAGATATCACCATAAATTAGTATATACCAATTTTTTTCAATTTATTCTGTGAACATGTTAATAGATTTCAGACTGTTTGATACAACAAGTATGCTTTTTGTACAAGTTAGGAAATAAACACTATTAAGGGAACTTTTCATATTAGATTTTTCCACACATTTGCCACTACAAAATATTTTGGGAAAGAGATTTTTATTGATGTTCAAAATGTTTTATACTCATACACACAAACCTTACCAAGAATAATACTCTCTTTGGTTGTTCAACAGCTTTGAATACTTTTAAAATAATGCAACAAATACATTTGTAGTCATTCTTTAACATGTATTTTGTTTGTTTTTTGAGACAGGGTTTCTCTGTGTAGCTTTGGAGCATGTCCTGGAACTTACTCTGTAGACTAGGCTGGCCTCGAACTCAGATATCCACCTGCCTCAGCCTCCCGAGTGCTGAGATTAAAGGCATGTGCCACCACTGCCTGGCATTAGCATGTATTCCTTAATTTTAAAATACATTTGTTAGTTTTTGAGACATTAAAGTACTAATACTTTTACAGGTAAAATGATTAACAAAGTATTGTATGGACTACCTGACCTCTCTTGCATAGTTAAGGTATCTGAAAAGTTAATTTTAGTGACTATTTGGATTATATATTCATGATATTAGCTTCATTCAAATACTTAAAAAAATTCATTCTAATATTAGTGAACATGTATTGTTTATTATTCCTTTTTGTTTGAATTGACAAAAATAAATTTTATATTTAAGCATTTCTAGATTTTGGATATCTTATAATTTTTTAAAAAATAATTGGAACTATTAGTTCCTATAAGACTTACTCCATTTGAAAATAAAAACACAGGATTTTTAGCAGTCACTTTGCACATTTGGGTCTTGGCTCTTGAGTTAATATATTAACAAGTGCTAAATATTAGAGTGTTTTATCACAGTTGTATTGAGTCCCTCCTGGTTCTGTCTGGAGAAAGGGGGATACTATAACATATCAGAAGGGAAATATGATATGTAGTGTGTAATTACAGGTAACATGTAACTATCATAATAACATTGAGCAAAGTATTGCAAAGATAGTTCAAATATTGTTCACAAGGGCAGTTTCTAATATTATTGAGGTAACTGTTCTTGGTGAAGTCTAAATTTTGTGCTAAAGAAAATCTAGAAAGTTAATGACTAATGTTCTTGTGTGTCATTTCCAGGTGGAGGTTTAGCTGTTGGAACAGTTCTTCTGATTGGTTAGTATAAAATACTTGCTGTGATCATTCTAACCAGTTCTGTTTTGTACGTGATGGTTTTATGACTTTCTCACTCTGAAACTGAATATTTAAATGGTGAGCTCTCCACAGATATAGGGTCAGTTTAGAACTTTTCTAAATACACTTTTTAATTCAAAATTGAGATGGGCAGACATATTTGAAAATGTATCACCTAACAATTAAAAATGGTTACTCTTCACTGCACCATTTTAAATTTAAAGTTATTTGAAATGAAACGTCAATTGCTTTTTTTTTAAAAACACCACCACCTCAGTATTAAAAGTGGAATTGTAGTGATTAGTTTGAGAAATGGAAAAATTAATATGTGTACTATATGTGAGTGTATAGATGTGTAATACATTTCACAGATTTTATTATTGTCTTATTGATTGAAAAAAGACAAAGTGGGCCATATTTTTGTTCATTTTTAAAGTGGTTAGAGTTCTTATTTAAATATACAACCCTATATGGCGTATTTCAACATAGATCATAGGGTCTTCAAATTGCAGAAAGCCTCATCTATCACATAATGAAAGCACTCCTGTTAATGTTTAACCTATTTACTTGCAGCATATCTATTGTTTCTAGTTTAGTCTTGAATCAGTCAGCCTTTTTTATATGACCCCATTAAAATATTTGAAAATATCCATTTTAACACCTCAAATTTTCCATAACCTAAATGGAAATCATTTGGTGAGCTGGCTGTGAGAGTTAACAGTGAATCCTTCTTCTCCCCATTGTCTCTTGATGTACCTCCTAGGGTGGCATCTCTTTCATTACCCAAAGCAAGTAAAAGATTTCATATTTAATAAGACCTATAGTCAGCAAACTGAGATATAAAATGTAATGATCTAGATATTTATTAGTACCAGGTACCAATAAAAATAAGTTTATGTTAGTAGACATCTTTTAACATAGCAAGGGACTGTGGCAAATGTTTTAGAAGGATTTTCTCCACCAAGTGATAGTCCTTAACCTTTGGCATACATATAACATTGATCGAGTGAAGCTGAGTCTCTGGGAAACTCCCAGCATCTAGAACATCTCATTACCTGTCTCTGCTTAATCACTGAAGAATTCTGATGATGATGGTTGGAGAGGTGCCCATCCTGTGGTTATTGTGGGCCATGTATTATGTCAAGTACTTTATGGATGTTTCTTTCTTTGTTAATATGATCACCTTATGAGCTATTAAATTTATATTATCTCTATAATTCATGACATTAGATTTGCAAGGTGAAATAAATTTCAGTTTCACATAGATAGTGAGAGTCCCAGGATTAGAATTTTGCTATGAATCTAGGTATATGAATTTGTTTTTTTGAGTAAGAAGTTTTTACCTTTTAATTTTTTTTTTATTTTTGAGAACTTCATACCTAAGTATTTTGTATTTACCTCAGACTCATTTCTCCCTCTATCCTCACCAATTCCTCCTAATTTATGACCCCTTCTTTAATTATTATTGTTACATATATATAAATATATACATATATGTTTATATACATCTATATATTCATATACAAAAATGTTTATTAACCCTACTGAGCCTGTTTAGTGTTGCTTGTGTGTGTGTGTGTGTGTGTGTGTGTTTATAGCTGATCATTTGGGATTGGATAACCTATCAAGGGGCTTATCCCTAGAGAAGACTGAATCTCCATCTCTAAGCAGCTATGAATTGCCTATAGCTGTTTATCTAGAGGTAGGGACTTGTAAATTTTCCCTCATCCACATTGGCATGTCAACTGGCATTGTTATTGTGCCGTTCTTGTTTAGGAAACCATACTATTGAAATTGCATGAGTGCCACTTCTCTCATATGTCATACATAGAAGACAATATATTTCAAGGGTACAGCAGCTGTCCTGGTCCTCTGGCTCTTACAGTCTCTCCACCCTCTCTTCCACAGGTTCTCTGAGTCTTAGGTGTAAGGGTTGTATTGTAGATTTGTTAGTTGGGGTTGGGTGCCCCATGGTCAGTTGTTCTCTACATTTGACCAATTGTGAGTTTGTGTAGTAGTCTCTATTGGCTCCAAAAAGAAACTTCTTCGATGAGAAATAAGAGATATATTTATCTGTAGGTATAAAAATAAGTACTTATGGGCTAGAGCAATGGCTTGGTGTTTAAGAGCACTGATGGTTCTTTTAGAGAACTCAGGTTCGATACCCAGCTCACAGACATATGTTAACTATGCATGTGGTGCACTGACATATATGTAGGCTAAACACATAAAATAAATAAAATTTTAAAAATATATTTAGAATGCAGTTAGAAATTATAGTGGTTTAGTAAAATGGCAGTAGTGGGTTCTTCTCTAGATCCATGACCTCACCGGCCATGGCTAGTTGTTGAAATTTATAGTACCAGTAATGAGTTCCCTCCTATTGCAATGCCGTATGTTTAGTTAGAGAGATGTTGGTTACTCCCAGGATGTAAGGGCCACTATTGCATCCTTGGGGATATCTTGCAGGACTCATCCTTATTGTGTTTTGTAGGCTGTGCAGCTGGATAGGATTCTTCATTGCTTTTCTCCCTTAGTAGTTTGGTTATTAGGAGATATTAGGAGACCCAGTCCTTAGGGAGGAGGAGGCTTCCAGGTCAGTTCCAGGTGGACTCCTCTAAGTGCTATATACAAACTGAATGGCATCTGCAGCAATAAGGCAACTTCTAGAAGGCATCTAAGATCCTACTCAGTAGCCTATATTGTTTGGTGAGTGTTGGGTCAAGTAGAAGATAGACTATCATGACTTAGAGATAAAGTAGAGGAACTGGAAAACACAAATAAAGAATATGAAAAAAATAATAAAAACACATGGAAGGAACATGCAAGAACTTGGGGACACCGAATCTTTGAATTATAGGCATAGAAGATGAAACACTCCAGGTCATTAGCAAAAACCAGATCTTTATAGGGTCATAGGAGAAAACCCCAAATCAAGGAAAGACATACCTACACAGATACAAGAAGCACACAGAACACCAAATAAATAGGACCAGAAAAGAAGCTCTTCGTGGTGTATTATTGTTTAAAACACTGAATATACTGAATGAAGAGAGGCTATTAAAAGCTGCAAAAACAAAAAACAAAACAAAACAAACAAAAACCCCCAAAAACAAAAAACAAAACAAAAAAAAAACGGCAAGTCAAATGTAAAGGAAAACCCACCAGAATAGCAACTGATTTCTAGGTGGAAACATGAAAAGATAGAAGAGCCTGGATCGATATACTCCAAGTTCTAAAAGATCACATATGCCAGCGTAGACGACTGTCCTGTATAGCTTTCTCAAATACCTTGTTTAACAGCCATAAACTGTTGTTGTTATTTTTTTTTTTTGGTCTTTTCTCTTTGAGGGGGCCCACCACCCAGCTCCCAAATAAATCACACATAGAGGCTTGGTCTTAATTATAAATGCCCTGCCTTAGCTTTCTTGTTCTTGCCTTAACTTAAATTATCCCATCTATCTTTTTCTGCATCTTTCAATCTGTACTTACAGTTTAAATCTTTTTCATACCTCTTACATCTGCAACATTTACATGTTTTGTTTTGTTTTGTTGTGTGTGTGTGTGTGTGTGTGTGTGTGTGTGTGTGTGTGTGTGTGTGTTGCATGTTGCATGTAGTTCTGTCCTGTGCAACCTTCTTCCAGATTTCTCCTATTTATTCTCTCTGCCTGCCAGTCCCACCTATCTTTTCTCCTATCTTGCTATTGGCCGTTCAGCCATTTATTAGACCATCTTGTGTTTTAGATAGGCACAGTAACTGAACTTCACCAAGTTTAACAAATGCAACATAAAAGAATGCAACACATCTTTGCATAATTAATGCAGATTTTCTACACAAATGTAGCGCATCTTAAAATAATATTCTACAACAGTTGTGGATGTTGGGAATCACACTTGGCTCCCCTGGAAGTGATTTTAACCTCTTGATCCATCTAGCCAGCTCTTCTCCACATTATATTCTGAAATAGGGTCACCTCACTGAACTTGCAGCTCACCAGTTAGCTGTGTCACTGACCAAGATTGCCAAGAGATGTGCCTATCTCTGTCCAACACCCACACCTCCAGGACTATGGTTACAAATACATAGCACTACACCTGACTTTTATATGGGTGCTAAGGATCCCAACTCAGATCTTCCTGTATGCATGGCAAGCACTCCATTCTCTGTGCCCACTCTAGCCCCTATTGTGAGTTTTGTAAACCATTTTCTCATGAAGTAGATTTTTCTTTATTTATCAAGGCAGTTTTATGTGTGACATGTACCTGTGAACAAGTGTGGCTTTTCAGAGCAGTTTATTTATAGTTTCAGATGTAGTGTAACTATGGAAACTAGAGCTAGTGAACGTTGCTACTAAAAACCAGAAAAAGTCTATGCCTTCAGAATATTGAAAAGTAGCAATATATGAATGTATGAAAGGGAGGAATATGAGGAATAAATCACCGAAGGTAAACATTTCTTAATACAAACTTGATTCTTATAAGATTTTTATTCAGAATTCCACTGCTGTTAAAACAACTGAGAAAATCAGCTGATAGGAAGAAAGCCTTATTTTGGCTCCTAGTTTCAATAGGCTCAGTATGTAGTCAACTAACTCCTTGATGTGCGCCTGAACTGAGGCCAAATACAGTGGCAGTGAGAACGTATAGCCAAGGAGCTTGTTAGTCTAATGTAGCCAGGAAACAGGGAAAGGAGGAGTCACAGTGCAACGTCTCCTTCACACACAAGCCCCCAGTGACCTTCCTCCAAAGAGGTTCCGTGTCCCAAATTTCTACCATCTCTCGCTAGTTCCTTCAACTGTGGATACGCCCATGGATTAATATGTTGAAGATGCCAGAGTCCTTATTATTTAACCGCCCTCAAAGGCTTCATCTCTGAGCACTGCTTCATTGAGGACCAAGCCTATGACATGTGATATTTAAGGCAATGTTTCAAACCAAAATGGTAACCAACTGAACTAGGTTTTGAGATGTTTTGTATTGAA